TTCATTCATGTATTTCCTCGCACACTTATTATTCATTTATTTATAACGTTTATTTCAAATTATATCCTACTGGGCCTTTCGCTCACGTTTTATGTTTCAAATGTATTAAACCCCTCCCAGGAGATTCTAGGAGCGGTGCACAGTAGCTGCATAATCGCTACGGAGCAGTTGAGTTGTGCTGCTGTTGGAATCAAGTGAGGATCGTGGACATCCTCTTGGACAAATGTAAGGAATTTGAGAAATTCTGTAAACTTATGTAATATTTAGATTTACTAGACTGTGGTTGATGTCTGTTGTAATGATTATTTACATGAGCATGTATGTACGATACTGTATGACCTGTGAGGTGGAGCCCTGTGTGTTAGAGGCTCCGGGATTCTGTAATGTAATTTATTCATATTTTAATGCAGTTAAGTGTGGGGCCCGGTTGGGAACCTGCTTTATTAATCCCAAATCGAGCTCCACGTCACCCACCCCGTTTGGGGGGCGTGACAGAGTGGTATCAGAGCCCTAGGTTAAGAAACCCCAGGATTGTACATACATGTGTGACATCTGTAATCCACTGAATAGTCTAGTTTTATTTCAGTTAAAGGAAATGGCGCCTCGCCGTAGGCCCGCTAATCAACCGGCACAACAGAATCAGGGATTTCTGGATGCCATGTATGCTGCCTTTCAAGGCATGGCCACAAGAGCTCAAAATGAGCGGCCGGTTGAGGATAGGAAGCAAGGTTATTTCTAGGAATTTAGGCGTGCGCCTATCCCCGCATTTAATAGTAAGGGAGGACCTCAGGAAGCAGAGTTCTGGTTAGACTCCATAGTCAAGCATCTGAGTACTATGGGAGTTCCAGATGAATACTGGGTGGAATTTGCAGTGTACAAGATGGAGGGCTTAGCGAACACTTGGTGGAAACAAGTCAAGAGAAGAATGGATGTTACAGGACTGACCTGTGAGCAATTTAAGACACTGTTCAATAAGCAGTATTTCTCTCAGAGTTATAAGGAGGAAAAAATACTGGAATTTATGTCTCTAGTGCAAGGTGATATGTCTGTAAGGGAATATGAGGCCAAGTTCAATGACCTATCCCGGTTTGTGCCATCACTAGTGGAGTCTGAACCCATGAGGTGTCTTAAGTTTGAGAAGGGTCTCAAGAATTCTGTGAGGAGGTCATTGGTGGCCTTAAGGATTCGGAACTTCCGGGATTTGGTAGCTGCTGCTACACGGGTGGAACAGGAAAACTTTGCCTATCACCAAAGCAAAGAGGCAACTGGTCGAGTCTCTGTCTCTGGTAGACCTTCTGTCTCAGGTGGGCCACAGCGGAGCGGTAGGAGAAACCGCAACCAGGGGCAAACGGTTGGGGAGATGGCAAGCGGTGGCAGTAGTTCGTCAGGGAGTGACAGAAATGCTCCGTACGGGCCCAGGTGTCACCATTGTGGGCAGGTGGGCTATATTAGGAGGAATTGTCCTAATCGGCCACCGGCTTAACAAGCTCAAAGTGACGCTTCCTACAGTCAAGAAGGGCCACCACCGTACATGCCACC